CTGACTCTCTGTAAACCGCTTAGAGAGGCCTGAAAGGCCTATGAAGCGGTATATAAGTCTACTGCTATTGCTATTGCTATTGCTATTGCTATTGCTTTTTTTTTTAAGTTTTAAAGATTCTTAGAGAAAGATTATTGTCCTTCAGGCAAGTTCATACCATAGATGAAACATCTTGCAAGCCTTGATGACTTCAAAACAGACCCGTGAGCAGCACGATAGCGTCATACAAGTCATATATGTTACCATTTTGCAGAGTGTAAAGTTATTTACATTTTGCACAGTGTAAAGTGATTTACATAAACAATTTGTGTCCTCACTGACCCCTCTCTGGCAGGGAACAAAGACACCGGAGATACTCCTGTGACAATTCTGCAAATTATTTATTGCGCACATTTATACAGCCACCCATCTTAATCAAAGAACTCTAAGGCAGCTAACGAAGCTCTAAAAACAAAACCAGACGTGCGAACAATTGAACAATAAAAGATGCCAGGCAAAATGCTGAACTCAATTTAAATGCTTAATCAAACTACTGTATGTTGCACTGATATTCTGATTCTAAAGCCTGCAGGAAAGGGCTAGATTTTTAAGGTGTTCCCAAATGCCAACAGCCATCCAAATTAGGGCAGGTCTCCTGATGTAGAAGGCACACCTAATATTATGTCAGATAAACATTATTTCAGAGAAGCATTATGTCAGAGGAACGACCTGGAACATATCTACCCTACCAAATGTATAGTGGTAGTAGTAGTATTATCCCAATGCATTATGTAAGAAGAGCATGAGCAAGACCTCATTTATTCTGAAATAAAGAGTCCCCCTTTTCCCCCCCAGGACACATCCCTGCAAGGGAAGTTAGTGGCAGGAAATCATATGATGTCTTTAGAACAGGCCTTGTTTATTACTTTGGCTTCAAACGTCATAATCAAAGGGCACTTCTAGAGAGCGAACCTAAACCTATTTACTAAGGTTGATTGACTCCAGTATGGCCTCTGGTTAAACCTGCAAAAGGCTGCCACCTGCACAGATCAATTATATTCTACCTTTCCTCCTCCATCATAGCCATTTTGTTCCAGATTTTGTGTTCTACCCCAGAGTGGCAAGACTTGATTGTCTTACAGCTTCCGACACGCCTGATAGACGATAAATAAACGAGGGCATAAGATATGCTTGACTGGCATGTAATGGTTTATCTAGACTAGCCAGGAAAACGAAAGCATAGATAATGGTCGGGCATTAGCTGCGTGAGTTTCCATTCTATTCTGATCTAGTCAAAGAATGGGTGAGCGTAATTGGCCCTGTAAGCCACTCGAATTAGATATGGGCAGGGCATCTCTGCCTTCTGTTGTGAGATCAGAGAACTGTGCTGTGACATTCATTTTGATTAGGGCAAATAACTATTCATTTCTGATCCGGTAGCTATATAAAATAAGACTGGATATGCTGTGCCATCTGGGATTAGCAGGCCCAGTTTTTCTCATAGTATTAGTGAAGAAATAATGGCTGGTTTTTTTTTTAAAGTTTGGAATATTTAGTTAACAGATTACTACCTGATTTCTCTAACCCTTTCAACTGGCATGTTGGATAGCATGGCATTTGAAGCCAAGAGGATGCTGAATATAATTATGGGTTTATACTCCAGATCTTTTATGGCTGACTCATATGTACCAACCATCTAGTGAGGCTACACTAAGTCAGTGACGAATAAATCTGGAAAACTTCTTCATAAATTCCCCATCCTTTTCTGGCTTCAACGTTGAAAGATGTCATTTGACCCAACTTAAATTTTGGGACTGAATTCTGGGATCTGTGTTTTTTCTTTCTTTCTTTCTTTCTTTCTTTCTTTCTTTCTTTCTTTCTTTCTTTCTTTCTTTCTTTCTTTCTTTCTTTCTTTCTCTCTTTCTTTCTGTCTCTTTCTTTCTCTCTTTTTTTTCTGTCTCTTTCTCTCTTTCTTTCTGTCTCTTTCTTTCTCTCTTTCCTTCCTTCCTCCCTCCCTCCCTCCCATCCTCCCTCTTTCTTTCTTTCTTTCTTTCTTTCTGTCTCTTTCTTTCTTTCTTTCTTTCTTTCTGTCTCTTTCTTTCTTTCTCTCTTTTTTTCCTTCCTTTCCTTCCTCCCTCCCTCCCACTTTCTTTCTTTCTTTCTTTCTTTCTTTCTTTCTTTCTTTCTTTCTTTCTTTCTTTCTTTNCATGGATTCTTTGAAGGCTGACCCAAAGGTGCTTTTTGGTGACCCCCAACCATAAAATTATTTTATGTTTTCCGTATTTTTTTGAAAATATGTGTTTTCCGATGGTCTTAGGTGACCCCTGTGAAAGGGTTGTTTGACCCCCCAAAGGTGTCCTGACACACAGGTTGAGAACAACTGATCTGGAAGAAGAAATATTACTGTTCACAAGACATGATGACAATTGGATTGTTACTGAACTTAGGTTTCTCAGAAGTGATTATCTTTTTACCTATGGTCTCACACTGGGTAAATAACCACTCACCCAAGTAAACCTAGTATATAAATTATGTGCAGAGTTTGCATAGCACAAAACGGAATTACAATATCACACTTGCTTTTGATACATTTTACTTTCTTGTAGTAGGTGTATGTGTGACCGCACACAGACACAACTCACAATTAGACTAGGTGAATTAAATCTCCTGATTATTACTGTTAAAGAGACTTTTCAAAGTCAAAGAGCTGAAGCTTTTGACAGATATTCCCTATGTAGACACTTTTGCCAAATACGCATTTCACATACTGTGACTTTGGTTACAACTAGCGAACAGCTATTCACTTTATAACTATTACTTGACTGCATAAGTTCATGTGCCACACACTTGCTTGGATGAAACAATTCAACTTGAATAACAAGTTGATCCAGGATAAAGAAGAAAGCTCTCACTAAACTACATATTAAATGTGATGAAGCGTGAAGCAGGAAAAAAATGCTCCTGGCACATCAGATATATCACTAATATAAATAGTTCTGTTTTTGTGCAAGTTAAATGACAGCAATGGTTTAACATTAATATAAAGTAGAATTTCCTAAACTAAGGCAATCCTTTCATTTCAAATTAGGAACAAAGATAAAGGTAATACAGGAAGACATTGATTCATAGATCTGGAATTTCATTTGT